CTATGAGTCTATGAATGGGTGTTCAGCTCTGGCTGGCCGGCCGGCCTGCCTCTCTCACGCTTTCATTTTTATACTGCTACCCATCACCCTAGTATTTCAGCACCTTCCATAAAAACATAAGAACGGCCGTACCGGGTCAGACCAAAGGTCCATCTTGCCCAGTATCCTGTCTACCGACAGTGGCCAATACCAGGTGCCCCAGAGGGAGTGAACCTAACAGGCAATGATCAAGTGAGCTATCTCCTGCCATCCATCTCCACCCTCTGACAAACAGAGGCTAGGGACACCATTCCTTACCCATGTAAAATCATTAGTGATAGTGAAGTCCCTAGTGGACTATATGTAGTTTCTGGCACTTCTCCCTTTCTGGGGTCAAGAACTGTTGGGGTAGGATGGGTTTTTTGGGTTGTTTGTGGTTTAGGGTAGGAGTTTGGAGATAAAGTGGGTGTCATTATTGTCATCTATTGTCAGCAATAGTGTCAACAGGTGCAGCTAAACCAGTTCTAAACATTGCAAAAATCTGTCTGGGGACTGGTCCTGCTTTGAGCAGCGGGTTGGACGAGATGACCTCCTGAGGTCCCTTCCAACCCTGATATTCTATGATTCTATGGTTTGTCCTTGTACACACCTGAAGCTAAACTGTGTTCAACACTTGTTCCACTGCACCTGTCATTGACACCCACTATTGGTAATAGGTAATTGTTGTAGTGTAGCCAGGGTTGTGGGGAATAGCAGTTTCACGGGTAATTGATCTTTTGTCTTCTCCCTCCCCTCCCTCCCCCAATCCCACCCCAGTCAGTGCTACAGAAAGCTTTAAACATTTCTGGGCTATGTCATGCTATGATAGTGCAGTCTTGGCATTGCTTTGATACAAGGACACTTGAGATTGAATACCGGGAAACCTTCCCTGATGGGGAAATCTTACTGGCTGGTGGCATAGACTACCAGGTGACCTGGTGACTCAAGTCATTTAAAACTGGACTGGACAAAACAATGGGGAATAGACTGTAGGGAACAACCCTGCCCTGGCCCATAGAGGGGACGGACTGGTTGGGACCTAATGAGGCATCTCCATCTCAAATGTCTCTGGTTGTATGAGATGCTGATATGAAGGTCTAATTTAGAATAATCCTTTGGTCAGACTCCAATTCCTGCCCCCTCAGTGCTGCCAGGTGAGTGTTCACACCAGAAATAGCTTCATGCTGTGTAGCTCCCTGGTGCTCCGATCAAAAATATCTCAGTGGGGAGGAGGCGGGGGCTGGCGCTGAATAACAGAGACAATTTATATTCAGCTACTGTGAGCTCCCTCTGCCTCCTTGAATTATTAATTCAAACCCCAAAATGAACTGGAGCAGCTTGGCATCCCCCAAACCCATCCCAGGCTGGGTGATCCTTGGGCGCAGTGGTTGCCAGTGGGCAGCATTTAGCGGGCTATGACCCACCCCACCGCAAGCAGCGTAGCTCAGCTGGAGACTGCAGCCTGCATGTCACTAGTATGGATCATTTTTGGTGCCAATCATTGCCAAGAACAGAGCCGGCACTAGCCATAAGCAGACTAAGGCTGGGTCTACACTACCCGCCTGAATCGGCGGGTAGAAATCGACCTCTCGGGGATCGATCCCCGAATCGACGCTCTTACTCCACCAGCAGAGGTGGGAGTAAGCGCCGTCGACAGGAAGCCGCAGAGGTCGATTTTGCCGCCGTCCCTACAGCGGGGTAAGTCGGCTGCGATACGTCGAATTCAGCTACGCTATTCGCGTAGCTGAATTTGCGTATCTTAAATCGACCCCCCCCCCGTAGTGTAGATGTAGCCTAAGCAATTGTTTAGAGCCCTAAGCAGCTCGCTTTTTTAGTATGGGGGAGGGCAAAATATTTCTCCTGAGGACCCCCAATGGGCTAGCACCGCCTCTGGCAAGAGTCAGAGTGAGAGACGAGCCGGACTCGGGGGGGTGGAAGGAAATGGGGGGGGGGGTTGGCGGAGAGCGGAGTAACACCTGCCTGTGCAGCTTGCAAAGCTCTTTGGGCTGGAGGGGGGCGCAGCAGCTCCACTCCTGCCCCGGCTAACGGGGGTCCCTCCTGGATTACGCCCTATCTGCCAGTCCCCGGTGCAGCGCCCCACTCCTGTGGGGTGCCCCTTTCGGGACGTCCCGCCTGGGCTGCTCCCACTCCCGAGTCCCAGGTCCCCCGTGCAGCACCGACCCCTCTCCCCGGCCTCCCCACGCGGCGCCCCGTCCCGGGTCACCTCCCCACGCCGGCTACCCGTTCCCATTGCGGGCCCCACCCCGCCTCTCCCTGGCCCGCTCCGCCCGCGCTCAGCTGCCGGCACGGCGGAGCTGCGCGGCAGCTTCGGACTGAGTCACCCCGGATCGACACGCGCCGGAGGCCGAGTCTCTGCGCCGGAGGCTGGGTAAAATCTGCGGGGAGCCGAGCGGATATCGGGGGGAGCCGCGCAGAGGCCGGAGGGATCCCACCAGGGACCCGGAGTTTCCCCCTTAGGGTAGTGACTGAGGTAGCCGCTCCTGCCCTTCCCCGAAGGGTTCTGGGGAGTCCCCCCGTCCCCCCTCAGGGACCTGGCATCCCCACCTCCCCCTCCCCCATAGGGTTCTGGGGAGCCCCACCTGCCCTGCCCCCCTTAAGGACCTGGCATCCCCACCTCCCTCATAGGGCTCTGGGGAGTCTCCCTACCCCCCCCCTCCAGGTCCCTGGCATCCTCACCTCAACCTTCCCCTATAGGGTTCTGGGGATCCCTCCCACAGCCCCAATTGCAAGAGGATATTTTCCTGCATCCCTCTTAAGGACTCAAGGATTCCCTTCTGCACCACCCTTAGGACGTGGGGGGATTCCGCCTTGCACTGACCCCTCATGCATCTTCCCTAAGGACTCACTTGTTCCCTGGCTGCAACAACCCCCCATCTGCTTCCCCTAGAACCCTCCGCAGTAAACGGCACCCATGAAGGTGGAGGAAGTCGTCTCGGTTTCTGACACCACCAACTTCAATTTCAGCACTGCCACCACTATCCCGTGCCCGGTTAACCGGATTTTCACCCATCGCTTCCTGCCGGCCGTGTACCTCATCGTGTCCCTGCTGGGGCTGCTGGGGAATGGGCTGGGGCTGTGGAATCTCTGTGCCGGGTCCCGGAGGAACAGCTGGAACACCCTCAGCGTGCTGATGTGCAACCTAGGGGTGGCAGACCTACTCTATGTGATCACATTGCCCTTCCTGGTGACCTACTATCTCCAGGGGGACGTGTGGCTCTTTGGGAAAGGCTGCTGCAGGCTGACGCGGGCCCTCTTCCACCTCAATCTCTATGCCAGCATTGGCTTCCTGACCTGCATCAGCATCCACCGCTACCTGGGCATCGTGTACCCACTGAAGATGCTGGGTAGGTGCCAAACCCTGGGGCCCCACTTCTTCATCAGTGCCTTGGTCTGGGCATGGGTCATCATCCAGGTGGGTCCTGATTTTGGCTTCAGCAAAACGGATAGCACTGGTACACAGTGTCATGATACGACAGGACATGAGAACCTGGGCACCTATCGGCACTATGTCCTAGCTGTAACTATGACTGGCTTTGTCATCCCCTTCCTCATAATCATTGGCTGCTACTGCCATGTGGTGGTGGTCCTCTGGAGGAATGAAAACGTGGACGCAAACCTCAAGAGAAGGAGCATCAAACTGGTAGTGTTAGTGATGGTCCTGTTCTCTGTCTGCTTCCTCCCATATCACATCTTCAGGAACCTTAACTTGCTGTCCCGAAGCTGGCAACTCCAGGGGTCCTGCACCCAGACTTCAAAAAACATCTATGTCTCCTATCAGGTGACCCGGGGCCTGGCCAGCTTCAACAGTGCCCTGAACCCTCTGCTCTACCTAATGACCAGTGAGGACTGCGTGTCACGTATGAGGACCATCAGTCAAAGGTCTGGCCAGTCTCTGCGGTCTCTCTGGGAGAGGAGAACCCAGCGCCAATCAGATCAGAAGAAAACAAGCATCATTCTCTGTGAAGAATTTGAAGAGGCATGTGATGAACTCTGAATTGGTTGGTTAAAAAAATAAGAGCATAGTCTGACTAAGTATATGGCAATTTACTTGTGTGTGGTGCCCCATTCCCTGCCCCTCCAGCCGTCTGTTCTGCCTTTTTAGAGTGCAAGCACATTGGGGCCTGGACTGAGCCTCCCTCTCTGTTTGTGCAGCAGCTAGCCCAATGTGGGAGTTACTAAAAGCTATTACTAAAAAAGTGGGTACCAGCATTATAGGGCCTGGGCCCAGGGCCGGCTCCAGGCACCAGCCGAGCAAGCTTGTGCTTGGGGCGGCAGCTTGTAGGAGGCGGCATTCCGCCCAATCCTAGGGCGGCACGACCGCTTGTTGTTGTTGTTGTTGTTCCGCTCCGGCTGCCCTATAGGGGGCAGCGGCATGGAGGACGAGAGCGCCCTGCAGCAAGCCCGGCAGGGCAGCCCGCATCCTTCCCGCCCAGCCAACCGGAGTGGTGCGGAGCCCTCCCGGCAGGGGACACGGCGGGAGGGGCCACGTGGCAACACCCTGCTGAAGCCCTGGCCACCCCCCTTTTCTCTCTTCCCCCGCTCCCTCCCCCCCGCTAGCCGGGGCACATCTGCAGGGCAGGGAGTCCCCCTGCACCCTGGCTCCGGCCGCGCCCCGGGTTTTTTTTTCTTTGGGGTTTTGGCCGCTGCCGTTTTTTTTTTTTTTTTGCTTGGGGGGGCCAGAAAACCAGAGCCGGCCCTGCCTGGGCCAACCTGCCAAGCCCAGTTTTGTACTATATAAAAATGATGTGTGTGTGTATATATATGTATATATTCTGCTGATCCTGAAATATTTGTCAGTTTCTCCCCAAAACAGACGGTAAAACATTGTTAAACTTCAACTTTTATACTGGCCCATCAAGCTAACAACTCCCCCCTGCATTTAAGAACGCAGGTACCCCTGCCGCAAGAGCATGTGCCCTACGTCCCACTACTCTACTCGGCCGATGTGCTTCATCCTGTGAGCAGGCAGGGATTTGAAATACATTCTCTCCCTTCACCTAGGAAAGGGCATATTACTACTTACTTACCTACCTCAGAGGGCTGAGGACTGACTGTGGGCTTGTAAAGGGTTTTGAGGATGAAAAGGTCTATAGAAGCTCTGAGCAGTACAGTTATATCTCTTATTAAGTAATACGACAGCTCCTGGGTTAGTTGGTGATGGCTATATGGGTGGCAGCATGCCCCAGGCTCAGTCACAGTAGGTTATATATCTTACTGGGCAGACATGCCTTAGGTCTTCGTCTCTCCTCCAAGATTGTGCAGCTGCTGACAGCAAACTTGTCCTTTAAAGTTTCAGGAGGCTGGTGCTCTATTAGGATAATGACTGCAGAATGCCTGGAATGATGCAGAAGCTGATTACAGTGGGGAATCCTACGGAGAATTTTTCACAATCTGTAGGCATACGATTGCATTTTACAATTACTATCGTGCACCGGTCCTACACCTAAATTTTCAAAAAAGTAGGTATTCAATTGCATGCCTAATTTGAGTGCGCATGTGATGTGATTGCATTCATCGTCATAGTCATTATACATGAAAACGATCCATTATGTGTGCAAGTGGTAATTTGCAATACCAATTGCCACACTAGCACCTTCAATCATAGTAACTGCATACAGATTTTTCTGGAAATTTTGGCCCTAAAATATTTGAAAATGTGGAAGAGATTAAAAAAATAAAGTAGACAAAGAAATATGCATGCAAAATAAGCACACAGTTACATGCCCCATCTGTGTGCACAATCTTAATAACTGTATGTTTACAAACTAGTCAGACATTTTGTTGGTCTGTCACATGCTTAAACTTGATGAAGACCTGTCCCAATATTGCATTAAATAGATGGGCATTAAATGTAACATGCCGATGATGCTGATATTTAGGAAGAGAAGACTTAAGCCCACTGCAGTACAATGCAAGCAGGAAAAAGCCAAAGAGCTGATAGCAAAAATCGTATTTTCATTGTCTCCAAAGTGGATAGATTGTTATTGCTGGCAGCAGGTGTCCTCTGCATAGTGCAGAAGCTATAGCCACAAACTGGTATTTTACCTTCTTCTCCTCACTGTCTTTTCCAGTTCCGATGGCTTGAATATTTCAGCAATTGTTAGAACATTAAAGGACATTCAGCAGTAGGTTTTTTCAATTCTGAAGAGAGCTTTAAACAATAAGAATGATCCAGATTTGTGCAGCTGCCGGAGTGAGAGAAACTTTGCTATTTGGAAAAATGCCTGATATTTATCACATTCAGCTGCTGTAGTGTTCAGATCCTCCTTTGATATACACCAAAGAAACCATGGCTAGTTTACATACTGAGTTAATATATCATGTTAAAGAGCAAATAAATACTTAGTGCTTCCAGTGATGAGTTGTTTGGTTTCTTTAAAACTTACAAGAACACAAGCCAGATGGCCTGAGGGATAGAGTTGGAAGCCTGCCTTGCCATGACACAGGAGAAGTGACAGGCTTTGGCTCTGGGATTGGCATTAAATGCAGGAGCTGCTGCTTACCCAGCTACCTGGCAAGATCAAGAGTGGCAGGACTCCAGCCATTGAGAAGGGGAGCAATGATACTCTTGCTGGTGGATGGACTAGAGGCACGATCCCACAAGATGCTTAGCACTCTGTCCCTTATCCAGCAAAGCATTTAAGCATATGCTATATTTTAAGATGATAAGTAGTCCCATTGAAGGCAAAAGTCATATTAGATCATCCTGATTTGTGAGGATGACCTAATACGTCTTTTCCACCTCTAATGTCAGTGAAGTGGGAAGGCCCAGGGGATCGCAGGACCTGCCCTGGACTAGCCTTTTGTCAGCTTGCAGAGTCCTCAGAGGGGCATATCTTCATGGCACTACACTGTTTCTCTCTAATGCTGATTTCACAGAATAAGTACCCACGGTGCCCTGGCCTGTGAGAGCTCTCAGTTGGCATAACTCTCCAGCACAGGTTTCAGATCCTAGATTCAAAGGCAATCCAGTTGGAAGGGATCCACTGGGTCAACTTGTCCAACCACTTGTCTGCCAAACAGGTCCCAGTGCTATCCTTTCCATACCCAGATTTCATCTCAGTTTGCAGATGCACTTCAGAATAATGCTTGTTTTTTGTACAGCTCTGTCACCCCCCAACCACACTCTTGTTTAAAAAAAACATTCTGTTGTTACTTCCACATCCCAGCTGTCTCCCTGTTTGCAGTGCTGCTTGGGAATAGGTTGATTTTGCTTTGTACATTCTTAGAAGATGAATCATGTTCTTCTGAAAAAGGGAGAGTTGTGTAGGAGGCAACAGTAAAACCCTTCCTCCATCCCTTTGAAAAGCCTTTGGAGACGCCACTGCACAACCTACCCTTTTCCAGTAAAGCCCAGTGATAACTCCTCAGTCATTTTAAGTGAATGATTAACTGATCTGAGTCCAAAGTCAGTTTATAGCACATTCTCATCGGCTATGGAGACAAGAAACCCACTAGCTCTCTACCGCTGCTTGTTATTGGGCAACTGGAAGAATGGCAAAGGTATTTACATATTTATGGTTCATCAGTTGCTAGACTTGCATCATAAGCAAAGGTTTTAGTGAACTAAGCATCCAAACTTTCTCTTGTGGTTTGGCAGGCCATGCTCATGGGATTTGCATAGTGTTTATATTTGCAGGGCTATAAAGAGACTTCTATATCTCAAGGGTGAAATTCATTCCAGTGTGGATGATCCACACAAAGTCTCATGCACCACTTAAGTACACGTAAGCCCCATGTTAAGAACTTGAGGCCTCTCAGGGTATGTCTACACTGCAATAAAAGACCCTGAGCAGCAAGTGTCAGAGCCCAGGTCAATTGACTCAGGCTCTGACACTCAGGCTGCGGGACTAAAAATTGCTGTGTAGACAGTCCCACTTGGGCTGGGGCCCGGGGTCTGAAACCCTGCAAGGGAGGAGGGCCTCAGAGCCCAGGCTGTGCCTGAATGTCTACACTGCTACCTTTAGCTACGCAGCTTGAACCCCATGAGCCTGAGTCAATTGACCTGGGCTCAGACTTGGAGCTGCGGGTTTTTCTTTGCAGCGTAGACATACCCAAAGACCTCCATAGACTTCAGTGGCTTTTGGATCAAGTCCTTAAAAGGGTTTAAGTGATGCACTGGGCATAGTGCTGGCCTTGATCACGGGTGAATTTCACTCCAAAGTGTGTGATTTTGGTGCTGCTTGTGTATATTCATGCAAGGTGGTTGAAATTCACCACTGTGAAGAAGGCCCACACAGGCCTATGGGACATAAGTGGTGCACAGACTTTGTGCTGCACAGGATGAATTTCACCCTGGGCGCAAAATGCATTCTCACTAGCCACTGTATATTTAAAGCCCATTCAAACAATGGAGAGCAAAATAAAACAAAAGTTATAGAAAAAGAATCTGAGAATAAAATGAAGATTTTGTAAGAAACCAGCAGAAATTCAGGAAATTCAAAACGACCGTGTTTGCTGAGCCCTGCTCCTACTGTTTCAACCGGTTTGAAGAGGATTAAGGCCATGAGTGTGTCAGGCTTAACTGCGTTTCTTGACTTTTATCACTTTGTGCCACTCTTGAGTTAATCCTTAGGGAGTTTGTTTCCTCTGAACTGCATAAGAAAGTCCCCTCCATGCATAGAGCCAAACACTCTCTATTGACTATGCACATGCCTTTGGCCCACCAGCCTGCCTTGCTAACCTTCATTGCGAAGTAAACAAGCAGGAAAACCTATTGTAAAGCCTGCACCAGAACTCATATAAAGTGAGAAGGCAAAAGTGCAGGATAATCCTTTGTAAGTTCAATACTTGTTGCTTTGTTTGCGCTTTCCTGAATAGCTCAAGAGCCGTTGCAGTTCATCTTTAATGTGTGTTGTGTCTTCCAGGCAATCTTTATCCCCCAAATGCCCTAAAGGTCTAGGGCCAGTTTCTTTAGGCAGGTTGCAACAGAAGGGGTCAGCTCCCTGATTTCCTACCAGCCCCAGTCCTAGCCCTGAGTGCAGGTTAGAATGGGCTTTGACTTCAGTGGTGTTTGGATAGGGCCCTACATTCAGAATGAAGTAGAGTGACCAGATGTCCCAATTTTATAGGGACAGTCCCGATTTTTGGGTCTTATATAGGCTCCTATTACCCCCCCCCATCCCCTGTCCCGATTTTTCACCTTTGCTGTCTGGTCACCCTAGAATGAATCTACTTTGACCCAAGTCCCTTCCTTTCTGCTGAAGATGCCTTTTAATTCTTGGTTTCCCTTTACGTAACCTCACCATTTGGCATGATGTGAAATTGTTTTGCGGGCAGCGACTAAGGGTCTGCTGCGCAGAAGTGCTGAGAACCCACAATTCCAGTGAAAGCTAATGGGAGTGAGGGACACTCAGACTTTCTGGAAATCAGGCACTGATTGTGGATTTTGATTGACTTGTCTACGAAGGGGTTTTAATCCACAGTGAGTTGACGTGCATTAGTTAACTCACAACATGCCCAGCCGTACTAATGGCATACACACAGGACAGCTGTGCCCTCTTTCAGTTCATATTGTTGTGTAGACAGGGCTGGGATCCTGTGGTCCTTGCAGTGTGTACTCTGGGATGTCTCTCGCTGCGCATTGTGGGGTGCTTAGTGGAGCCAGAGAGAAGCCTGTGGAATTCTGGGACATGGAGTCAAATTCCAAAAAACTCCACGATTCCACTGTCTCTGTCCTATGTTTCCTCTCTTTCTGGGTGGGATAGTGCCATTTTCAAATTGCTGTCGTGGACCCAACAATGTTCCATGCCACTATGCTGGCAACTGTGCATACGCAGAGGCTGCTTGAGCTGTATTTCCGCTCTTGAAGCCAGGTGGCTTCAGGTTTGGACTTCGCCAGCCACACCACCGAGCAGATGACGTGGCTGCAGGAGCAGTTTCTCCAGCAGCGGTGGTGGCAGCGGAGGAGGTAGGGCTAGGAAGAAGAGGATGACACTAAGCAACTGCTACTACTGGAGCTATTCATGGAGCAGTTTCACACAGGGCCGGTCTACACTGAAAAATTACACTGGCATAGCTACAACTCCCCTGGGTGTGAAAAATCCACATCCTTGAGAAATGTTGTTAAGATGACCTAGCCCCCGCTGGAGACAGTGCGGGGGCGATGGAAGAATTCTTACCGCCTCTCAGGGAGGTGGATTAAGTTTCCTTCCCATCACTGTAGTAAAGTGTCTACACTGAAGCGCTGCACCTATAGTGTTTTAAGTGTAGACACAGCCACTGTGCAGCTTCTGGGAAACCAGCATGAATTAGCATGAAAGCATCATTCTGCAGATCTGGGATGACCTCCAGTGGCAAGAGAATTTCAAGATGACAAAGGCAACCTTTTTTGAGATCTGCGCTGAACTCGCCCCAGAGATTCAGTGGCAGCTTACCAACATGCGGTGCCCCATATCCATTGAGAAGCACTCGCCATTGCCAAATGTTACCAGTCCATAGCCAACCGGGGGAGATTGACTCTGTTGGTCATGCAGAGCTATGCCACCATGCATAAGGTATTGTTGCCTCAGATTATAAAGCCTGGTAATGATCAGGAGATTACTGATGGCTTTGCATGCATGGGGTACCCAAACGGGATTGGGGCAATTGATGGGAGCCATGTGCCTATCATTTGCCTCCTGCACCAGGACTCAGGGTTTATAAACAAAAAAGGGGTATTTCTCAATGATGCTCAAAGGGCTGCTTGACCACCGTGGTAGGTTTACAAACATAAATGCAGAGTAGTCTGGGAAGATCCATGATGCTAGGGTCTGTTGGAACTCAGCTTTGTGTAACATAATGAATAAAGGACAGTTTGCCTCCCCCGCAAGATCACTATGGACTTTAATGGTGTGGCAATTGCGTTGGTTAGCCCAGGAGAACCTCTGCTTGTCTGGTTAATGAAGCCACTCGGACAGAAGGGAGGAACAGCTTCTGTAGCTGCAGAATGACAGTGGAGTGTGCACTTGGCCATCTGAAAGGAAGGTGCTGCTGTTTTTGGAATAGCTTAGAGGCTTCAGAAAAAAACCCCTTGCCTAAGGTTATAGCTGCATGTTGTATTTTGCACAATATTTGTACAGCTTTGCTATCCGTAAGGAAAACGTCTTTTCCTGTAAGAATGTGTGTCACAGGGCATTTATACTTCGGCAGGGAGCTGTAGACTTAGTATCTTTATCGGCAAGCAGTGTCAGTGTCTACCTTATGTAAACAGAGAATAGTGATGTGATGGAGGGGTATAAACCCTGCCCTGCGAGGGAAGGGGCTGGCAGGGCTTTGTGTGCTAAGGTAGCCTGGCCCTCCAACCCTGCTAGTCACGCGTGGTAGGGAGGAAGGCTCTAAAAGGAGGAAGCTGCAGTCAGCGTGGGGGAAGCCCTGAGCGGGAATGGTTCCTGAAGCAGCAGAAGGAACTCCCATGCCTCAGACCCCTCAGCTCCGCAAAGAGTCCAGCGAACCCCAAGAGCAAGCCCGGCAGGGAAGAGACTGATTTGGCTACCCGGCAGGGACGGCTACAACTGTTTTTTGCCGCCCCAAGCACGGCAGTCAGGCGGCCTTTGGCGGCACGCTGGTCACGCGGATTCGGCGGCGTTTCTGCAGGTGATCTGCCGGTCCCGTGCCTTCGGCGTACCCACCGCTGAATTGCTGCCGAAGCCGTGGGACCGGCGGACCTCCCACAGGCATGCCGCCGAAAGCCACCTGCCTGCCACCCTCACAGCGACCGGCAGGCCGCCCCCCGCGGCTTGCCGCCCCAGGTACGCGCTTCCTGCGCTGGTGCCTGGAGCCGCCCCTGCTACCGGGCATCCCTGCAGGAAGGTGATGCCACTGACCTTTTATCTTTTGGCTGACCCTGGAAGGGGCTTATTCTCTGCTGAGTTTGAACCCATAAACAAAGTAAGAAGGCACCCAAGGGCCGGGCCCACTGCAAGGACCAAGAAGCTTGGGCCTGGACAGGGCTGTCCCTGTGGTGGTAACTGGGCATGGCAAGGGGCCCTGCCCCTGCTAGAGTGGCGCCCCGGAAAGACTCTTTTACAGGTATCCAAGCTTCTTTCCACGTACCCAGCGTCTCAATGAAGCAACATTTTGCAGTTGAATGTTGCTGTTATTCAGGAATGCTGTGGCGGGGCAGCAGTGTAGTCAGTAGAAAACAGAATTTACCCATTTCTCATTCGAGGAACATGGAGGTTGGTTTAGATTAGTTTCCCCACTCCTTTTGTTACCATTTCACCACTGGCAGGAGGGGAGGCAAGATGGGGTAGAGGCTGCGGATGCCATTTTGAGCTAACAAACAGGATTGATGGGCGGGGGTGGGGGTATTCACTGGACAGGACAGATGCGGGGAGGGGAAAGGAAAATAGGAAGCTGGGAATGTGCCCTCAGTGACACAGGCTGGTAAACAGACAATGGTCAGGGCTTGAGCAGAAGCCAGTTGCCTGGCCAGAGCTGACACCATTTTGAAAACGGACAATATGGGCCACGGAAGGGAGAAGGGAGGCAGGGCTGGAGACTCAGACAGGCTAATAGTTCACATCCCCCCAAAATGGCTGTGGGGCACCTGGAACAGAAACTAGTACAATAATAAATTGTAAAGAGAGATGCTTACATGTCCAGCTTCCCTCCATAGGGTTTGCCTCCTCAGTCCTGGCCTGGGTTTCTGGCTGGGAATCGGGCTCGCTTCCTACATGGCTGGAATTGGGGGAAAGAGATCCTGGCTTTCTGGTGAAAGCTCTTCACTGGCCTCTTTGTGTGGGAGGGATGGGTGTCGGTAACAGTGTCTTTAATCAAAATCCTATCCAGCTCCTCCAAAAATGGACAGGTTATAGGTGCATGACTGCACTGTTTCCTGGCGTCCCTGGTTTTAATGTAAGTCCTTCTGAGCTGTCTGCTCTTTATCTGGAACTGGTCGGCGTTGCAGTTGTAGCCCCTCACACGCAGACAGCTGCTTATCAAGGTCCACAAAAAGATCTTTAGTGCGGCGCTGCACTGATGCTTCTCTCCAGATGGTGAGGAGATCTGGGGTTTCTGCGTGGCTCCAGGCAGCTGCTCAAGACATGTTGTAAGGCTTCTGGAGTAACATCGCAGCAGTGCTGATATATTCTAACCCAGGAGCAAATGGGCAAACTCTGACCCCACGCCAGTTTTTAAATGGGGGAGGGGACATCTGGTCAACTTGACCCTAGAGCACTGGAGGGAACACAGGTAGACAAGTCAGTAACAGACACCTGCAAAGCAGTGTAGGATAGCAGTTGGAGGACTGACAAAGTAACGCAGCAGCATCGCATGCACACAAACAATACGTCACACTAACTCAATTTGCAGCAAACTTAGTACACTTTGAAAGTGGACTCCAGAGTTTGCAGTAAATGTGGAGTTACTGTGCTCTAATGAATTGCGTCATGTGTACACAGGCATTTTCATATCGGACTAACGCGAATTAATGTGGATTAACCCCTCTCCCCCTATAGATGAGCCTTAAATTACACGTGATGGGACCAAACCATCTTTCAGTGAAGTCAATGAGAGTTTTATTGGAAGCAAGAGCAGGCCTGGAATTTTGTGGCATTACTTTCCTGGCTCATTTAAATAAACATCTCTCACTCTATGATTTGTTGCAAGTGTAATTAAAACTCATTGCATCTGATCAGAAATTCTAAACTGACAGGCGAATAAAGCCAGTCCTGCAAAATTAATGTGGATGCACACATACGCATGCACAGTTGGTTCCCCTTGAAATGAAAACTTGCTTTAAAAGAAAGCACACCCCCCCAAAACCCCAATGTTTTGGTTGGCATGCAAAACAACCTACAAGAATCAACTATCACTAATTCCAGAATATTAGCAACAGGCTAAATACACGACTCAAACAAATGCTGGGGTTTTTTTTGTACAAACAGCACAAATTTATAAAAACAGACAGCAGGGTGGCTATGGAAACACAAAGTCCTTTAAAGCATGACCCGTTTAGACGTCAAAACAAGGTACTGTGATTACCACAGACGGTCAAAAAATGCAAAAACACTGAATGAAAGGGTGGAACAGTGAATGCAGCATGAACTACCGAGACTCCTCGCCTTTCAACTGAACTATCGCCGAAGTGCATTTAATAGTTGTTGGCTACATAGATGGGAGTCTATTGAAAAGTGTGAGTAGGAGAGATCTGGACCCAAAAGCCAGACAAAGTCCATGGCATAGAACACATGGTCTCCAGCTGAAATCTAGTGCTGACAAAGTTCCCCACCCCACTTCAGAAAGTTTGGCTACAAAATGTGTCCAGTAAATCCTCATTCGATAAACAAAAGCGGGCTGGCTGCCCTGGACTGTACTAGCTGGCCTTATAAATGTCTCCATGTCAGAGACTCCCAGTGCTCTGGGAGAGAGTTGGATGTGGTTTTTAAACAAGTGCTCGTGCTGATGGCGACATTCCTGCAGGACTTAAATGGTGCTAAGGGTCAAAATACCCCATCTAGCCAAAGTTTCCCTGTGTGACTGTAATGGCAGATGGACTCCCTTACATGGTAATGTAGTGTCTTCCACTTCAGTCAGTCACCCACTGTAGAGAGTTGCCATTTAGATAAGAGGAGACCCAAATTCTGACTAAGATAGAAGAAGACGGAGTCGAAGGAAGATCCATGTGGTAAAGGAAGATGACTACAAGTAGAAAATTACATGATTCACCTATCGTTACTGACCATTAAGAGCCACCATGTGATATGGGGTCCATGTTGTGGAGGTGATGAGGGATGGAAAATCACCCACGTGTTCTGAGGTAAAAGCAGATGAACACAATATGAGGACGGCACCACGCAGATACAGTCTGGAGAGAAATGACGGCTGAGATACAAAATGAGGCTGTTCTGAGGGGAGGAATTACTCCACGGCAGGAACACAAGCCAGAAAGGTAAGCTTGAAGCTGATTATCAGGCAACGATTCTGATTGGTGAGGTCAGTATGGCAGCTGCAGACCCCCCTCATGCAGGAGTGCTGCTAGCTTTTACGCCGCCCTAGGCGGTGGAAGGTCCCACCCCGAAATGCCACCTCCCCACAGAGGCGGCGGAAGGTCCCGCCGCGGAAATACCGCCACGGTCGCTGCCCCCCAAATCGCAGTGCCCTAGGTGACCGCCTAGGTCGCCTAATGGGTTGCGCCGGCCCTGCCCTCATGTGATGGGAAGTCATGGAGCCTCCATCACTAATGGTGTCAGGGGAGATCTGGATATGACCCCAGAGCAGTCAGCCTTTGGCCCAACCCTAGGACATTTTTATGTGGAGGTGTAAGAGCCAAAAGCAGCTTTAGAGCTGCACACTGGGATGAGAGCAGAGGAGGTGCCATGCAGAGGGGCTGTGCACTTCGCCTGCGCCATGGAGAGGATCGCCATGTCCATGACAATGGGTCAGCCAGTGGTTCCACATGGGCACAACTATACTGCAATGCCCATTGCTACCTACACACAGCTGGGCTGCACCCTGCTGACCAGATGCCTTGGACTTTGCTCTCAGTTTGGGCGTTGAGGAGTCCTGTTCTGTTAGGTTTACCACAAGATTTACCACAAGCAAAGCCCTTGTCCTCGGGCTTTGTCTGAGGAATTACTGTTGGGTCTCTTGTGCAGGCAGAGGCATTAGATCACCCAAGTTCCTGCAAAAAAGGGCCAAATTTTGAAAGGAACAGATGAATCTACAAAAACTCCTGGGTACCCACAAAGAGTCACGTTCACTGACACAATGGCTGTGTGTGTAGTTTTGCAAATGCATCTGTTGCACCCACTGGTCTGGAAGAAAGCCTGGAGAGTAAACCCTTGTTGGTGTAAAGGCGCAGAGACTGTCTCTTATAGTAAACCAACACCTGGAGAAATGAAGACTAGTAGTGTATTGTTAACGCTGCATCCAGCTAACCCTTCACCTGGAGTTGTCCAGGTGCCCATTTCTCAGATTCTGGGAAAGAAGGGAGGCAGTTGAGCAATATCCTTTCTTATGTGATTCTCTGGTCTTTCTTCCAAACCTCGCAAGGTGCTCTGACATTCTGAGGCTAAGTGTCATTGACATGCACATACCAGTGATCTTATCACAATGGTGTCAGACCCTGGCGGGCAGAACATGGGGCCAAGGTGCTGGGATTCCTGCAGATGTCAGCTCACAGCTATACAAGATTCAAGAGAGTTTGGTTTTATGTTGTGTCTTTCCTAACATGCCATTTGAGAGATCGCATTAAAAAAATATGATCAGTGTATGATCCACTCCAGTCAGTAATTAAAGGTCACAACATCCTGTAATTTAAATTAGAGGGGCATTTATTTTTTCAGAGTAGCAGCCGTGTTAGTCTGTATCCACAAAAAGAACAGGAGTACTTGTGGCACCTTAGAGACTAACAAATTTATTAGAGCATAAGCTTTCGTGGACTACAGCGCACTTCTTCGGATGCATATAGAGTGGAATATATATTGAGGAGATATATACACACACATACAGAGAGCATGAACAGGTGGGAGTTGTCTTTTTTCTCTTACTTAATTGGCCTCTCAGAGTTGGTAAGACAAC